GCAGAGTCCAAAATCATTCTTGAATTATATCCAATCCCATTGTAGAAGGCTTGGATTATCTGCCACTGTGCTAGCCCATGATGAGGGCATTCTCTCTGTAAATCCTTAAATCTTTCCCAAGCTTCATAAAAAGATTCATCTACTTCTTGGGAAAAATTTAGGATCTTACTCCTTAATAAAGTTGTTCTCTCTACAGGGTAGTATTTGTTATAGTAATTCAAAACAAGAGTTTCCCAGTTAGTAATACCAAGTGTGGTTCTATTTAGTCCATTGTACCACAATTTAGCTTTACCACATAAAGAAAAGGGAAAAAGAATCTCCCTGATTTGGTAGAGAGAGAAAGTTAGAGTATTAACAAAAGCTTCAACTAATAATAATCCATAATTTGAGTAAAGAGAGTGAAAAACGTCCTTAACTTCCTAAAATAAATCGTATTTATACTTTGGCTAAAAAGATAAAACAAATTATATCTTTAAACTCCTTCAGAAACACGCGCACGGTCGGGCGGCATCTCGCCCAGTCGGGTGCGCCTTCGGGCGAGGGCTCGCTCTGCCGGGCGCGCCTTCGGGTAAGGGCTCGCCCTGCTGGGAGAGCTCCCAGGCAAGCTTGGACTTCTTCAATTGGGTCGTTTCTTAGCCCAATTCGTATATCCTCTTTGGGTTCTGAATACATGGTCCATTGCCCCAAACTCTTCTTCTTCGTCGGGCCCTTAATCACCGATTTGATGACTCCAACCGGTCTTGGGCTTCGGAATGTGGTCATATAAATGTGACCTTACTCCAATGCTCGTAGTGGCTCCAATAAATCAAGGAAAATGCTCCAAATCTGCAATTTCCTATAAAACAATACCAAATCTATGAAAACACTAGAAAACGCATATTAGTAACAAAAGTAGCTCCGTAGAGCTCAAATAAACACAATCATGACCAGTAGGGCGGGGAATAAATATATATATATAAAATTGACTTATCAGCTCTCACATTGATGGGAGATTGGAATTGAAGGTTCCCTTCCCTATGAATATTAATCATTTGGGATTGGGAAGGGACACTTGATTTATGAATTTTAAGGGATCTCCAAGAAGAGAATACCTTAATTCTAATACTCTAAGTTTTCTTGGTCTAACCCCGACTAAGCTTCGGTGTAGGGGCTGTTCGGGTTGGGTCTCGAGGGTGAGAGCCGTTGGAGGCTTGCGCATTAGCGGAGCTATACGCTTTCAACTAAGAGCTCCTAGAAAGAGCGAAGCACACGTCAAGGGTAAGATTGTCTTTTCTTATTTCTCTCTCATTGTTAATTAGTTATGTGATTGTTAATTAATTAATATGCATGATTAGCTACATTAATTTGTGTGCGGGTTTTGGGAGGGTTTCATTCCGCGTAGTGTTGGACACTACAAAACCCAACAAGGCGATGATGACCGGACGACGTGAACTAAATGCTGCATTGGGGACGACGGGCGGTGATCACCTAGTTTAGTATTAATGTTTGAAGCTTAGTATAAGTATTTAGTTATTCCGAAAATATTTTGAACTACTATTATATAGTTATTAATACAAGATAAGTATTCTTCCGCCGCAAATCTTTGCTAAGCCTTACGTAAGCATGTGCGGTAATACTTTCAAGTTACTCCCAAAAGTTGTATTATTATTGTTATTATTTGAGAGTAATTTGGGGATGTTATAAAACTGCCCAAACCTCGCGACTACAGTGGCGCTAAAGATGCAAAAGAAGTTGATAACTTCCTTTTCGACATGGAGTAGTATTTGCGAATATGTCAATTGAGTGACGATCAAAAGGTGGATGATGCCATCATGTACTTGTTGGATGATGCCAAATTATGGTGACACACCAAGCATGCCGACATCGAAGCAGGAAGAACAAAGATAGAAACATGGGCGGAGTTCAAGGAGTAACTCAAAGAACAATTCTACCCCAACTACACAGACTTTGTTGCTCGGACGAAGTTGCAAGAGTGCCTCCAGAAGGGCTCTCTTCGCGACTATGTAAAGGAATACTCAGCGATAATGTTGGACATCACAGACACGAATGAAAAAGATCGTGTGTTCAACTTTGTCAATGGGTTAAGGGAATGTATGGGCACAACGAGAGATTTTAAGGCAAAAGATTGACACCCTCGTTGCCGCCATGTGTGCTGCTGAGAGATTGATGGACTACTCGGTCAGGAAGGGCCATCAATCCGAGAATGATTCAAGTGGGACGTCCACATGCTATGATAGCTAGCCTCTAAGCTCTCCAAAGGGTACGGAGGTCGGCTCTCAAGTATCGTCCAACACCATTGATGGATATTAAAGAAGAATTGGAGGAAGTGATGTTCAAAAATCCACATCGGCCCCCACAACTCCAAAAACTCCAAGGCCGGCACGTCCCCGACAAACACAAAGTTGATAAATTACATACTTTCTCAAGGCTCACACAAATGGTGGGAGTGAAAGCACAAGGAAGAGATTGACAAGCTTTAGATGAGATTGTCATCCATGTCCGTACAAGAGGCCCTAAAGGAGAAAGGGAAGAACAAAGAGACCGGTAGAGATGAGGAGCCCACATGTAGGATGGGTTCCATCTACCGAATGAGTGCTATGAGAATGATAGCACCTGAGGAATAACTAGAAGTTTGATATCTTTCGACAATGCGAGTGATGGAGCTAGAGAAGCAGGCAACATCGAAGAAACCAACTCGCACTAGAGATCATAAGAAGTAGGATATGAAGCCCAACAATCCGTAAACATCTAAGATACACCCCCGCTAAAACAAGAATTAGAAATAATGCTCGAAGCAAGCAGCAACGAGCCTAGGGACACCCAAGGGACACAAAGGAGGAACCTCCCAATAGAAAGGGAGTACAATGGTCAAGCAAACAACACAGGTGGCATGTAGGGGATCACAAAGAGAATGGATACCCAAAAGGCACCAGCCCCATCTGGAAGCTCACCACCACAGTCTTAAGGAAGCAGCTCTCCACCAGAAACCCAATGATACAACTCTTAGGAGGAAATTCAGAGATGAAGCTCTTAACAATTTGTTCGAGAAGAGCCAACACAGAGACAAGCTCCTCGGAAATAACGAAGATCTAGATCTAGATCCAGAGTCTACGAAGATTCAACAAGCCAACCCCATCAACAGCGCACCAAAGACTCATGATAGATTAGGATTTTCTAATTTTGATTGTAATTCTTGTAAGTCGAAGAGGTCGTCGACAGCTTAAGTGGGGTAGGATGTTAGAATCCATCCTCTTTTGAGGTACTAGATGCCCTTCTAATGCTTTCCTAGAGTTTACTTTATGTTTTTTAGGCCTTAGATCCCATTATTGTGTTACTATTAGTTCAGTGTTAACTAGGCATTCTTTATGTAAACCATTTAAAGCTCTTCAGAGGGTGAATGATTGAATGAAATGTTAATCCTTCTACCAGCTGTTGCTTTGCTTTTATGTTTGTTTGTTGTTAGAACTTTATAAACATTGTGTTTTACTTGCATAATAGCTCCCCTCTCCTCCAACTTGATGCACTAAGAACTCGTGGTTTGGACCCGCTTGTGCCGCCTTGAAGTATCGGCCGTCACAAACCCCGATCACCCGCACTCCGTAGCCAAAAGACGTGAGTGCTCTTAATTTCCCACTTGTGTTGATTCGTGCTCACATGCCCCATTTCGCATTAAGGCTTGCGCTCTTACCGCCAAAAGTCTAGAGCGCGCCGCACGTTCCGGTGCTTAAAAACCTGGACCGTGACACGTAGTCTCCAAGCTATGGTTTTTACTCGACAGGGTCTTCTTCAGGACAGAGTCTGCCTCATCTTCCCAGTTTTTCGGTCTGGATGTTTGCGAGGAGCTTCTACTGAGTCTCTTAATATTAGTCTCATGTAATTTTTTATGGTGCTTGGAATGCCATGGATAAAATGCAGTGTAGGTGCTGGTTGGATCTTTTTAGAAGTACGGTCTAACAGGTTTTAGGTGGGAGTTCTCGAGCGTGTCAGTCCTCATATGCCCTTCAGACAGATTGAAGTTGCTGGCTGTTTATGGGCACTTCGAGTTGCTAGTCGGAATGGTTTTCTTTACCTCCTTATCTACTCTAATTGCCCAATTTTAGCTTCCCTTCTGCCATAGGACACCAACTCGACTCTTTATCATTTAAGATTTTCTACTTGCTAGATTTGTGAAGTTCCTTATACTCATTGGTTGGATGTGAAGGCTCGTCAAAGACATTTTCTTTATTGATCCTTTTAGGCTTATTATTTGTGTATGTTTATTTCATAGTGCTTGTTGGAAAAAAAAAAAACTTACACTAAATTATTATTCCTTTTGCTGAGAGAATATCATCTTCAAATAAAATATACCTACAAACCTTCATTTGTGACCATTAGGCTAATAACTCATTGATTGTAAATATTGTAATTACTCTTTCATAAAATAGAATTACTGCAAGTACTCTTTGTGTGAGGTATTTTTAGTTCACTTTATTTATACTTATACTAGATTAATAAAATTAAGTTCAAATCTGATTAGATTAGATTGATTTAAATAACTTCAAATAAGGTTAGATTAATAAAAATAAGTTCATATCAAACGTAATCTTTTTATATGATGTTTTTTATTGCTAAATTTCATTAATTTCGTAATGAAAAAAATTATGAACATTACATTAGATAAAATATACATTATTACGAATCAAACAATACCCTCACTTGATAGATTTTTCTTTATAAATTAGGGTACATATAAGATAAAAGTTTAGTCAAATTAAATAATCAGATTAGTTTAGATATTAGTAAGTTCAAATTAGATCAAATAAAAGAATTCAAATCGAATTAGATAAGCAAACTATGCATAGCCTTCATGGAAAAATTGAAAAAGTGAGACACTCATCTTCAAATTAAACTTTAAAAGATCATGTGAAATATCAAGTGTGTTGGACCAGGCCAAAGTTTTGGACTTTTCCGGGCAAGTGATCGGGTCGTGCTATAACGTTGGACGGATCGGGCCTTCATGACCCGTTTTTTAATAAAGAAATTTTACTTTGTTTAACCTTTTTTGGTAGGGGTGAGTATGGGTCGGATACCATATCATTAACACTATCGGTTTGGATACAGTGGCGAACCCACATGTATTTATTGTGGGTCACGTGACAACCTATTATTTAAAAAAAAAAAAAAAATAAAAAAAATTTAGCACATTTTCACGGTTTTACTCCTTCACTCCTTCCTCTCTCTCAGTCTCTCTCCTCCCAGAGTCCCAGTACACGGCTTCCTCTCTCTCTCCTCTATTGAAGCGTACTCGAAATTCTCCATTGAAGGGGCTTCTGAGCTTTCTCTCCTCCACGGATCCACTGAAGCAGTCTCAAAGGTTAGATCTTCTTTTTCTTTGATCATTGACCTAATTAAATTAATTAATAGTCACTATATGCTCAATTTAGGATTTTAGGATTCTTCGAAGTTGGATAATTGTGGGTTGATAATTGAGTCAATTTTGGTTGCTAAAATGCTAATGTGTTGTAGGGTTTGGTTTGTGGAGCGTACTCGAAATTCTCCATTGAAGCGGCTTTTGAGTTATGACTTTCTGAGCTTTCTCTCCTCGACTCCTCCATTGAAGGCTTTGAAGTAGTCTATAAGGTTAGATTTTGACAATCTAGTGTTATTGTGTTAATCGTGTACTTAATTGTCTGCCACTGAGTATATACTCAATTTAGGGTGGTTTCGGTGGTGGTACAGGGGGAGGGGGTGGTTGTCGGGGCTGGGCTGGGGTTGGGGAGTGGCTGTCGGGCTCACGGGCTGGGTCAGGTACTCCGTACTCAGGTGGGGAATTGTTTGATTAATTTGCATCAATTTCATGTTCAGCGAGGTTGGAAGGCTTGGAGGTGTGACAGTCATGGAGTGGGTTTCATCAATTAAGGAGAACATAAAAGACACATACAGTGGTGGGATAGTTTTTGGAGTGTAGGGTATTTAGATAAATCGAAATGCATGGGTCTTACCTTATTAGGACTCAATGTCAGGTGTGATTACATTTATTAACTCAATTTTATTTGTCTGGAATTTTGAGATTTGTGATGGTTTGTGGATTTTGATTATTAGTGTTAAGTTTAGTGGTGCTTAAGACTTGTTTATTGAGTTTAGGGGTTGTTTAAGGGTGATTTTGGATTGTTGTTCTTGATAGTGTTAGTGTATGATTGGATTTGAGTTGAGCTTTGTTGATTGATTGTATGTTTTGGTTGGTTTGATTTTGATGCCATGTTAAGCAATGTAGTTTGGGAGATTCGATATCAGCTATTATAAGTTTATATGATTTAATTGGAGATTGGAGCTTGATTGAAGAACATGTTGAGAACATAAAGGTTTTTGAGATTTTTAAGTATGGGAAGTGATTGGGTTAATGAAGTATAATAAAGTGCTGGTCTTGATTAATGGCTGTTGCAGAAGTTTTGGTCCTAGAGGAACTGTTCTTATCAAAAGGATCCAAGAAGAGGACTTGCAATGGAGAAATTCTCACCCTTGTTAGCCTAAGAGGGGTATTCCTTCTTTCTTCTCCTTTCAAATTATGTAGTCAATCTACTTGCTTATTTTTGTTGATTTTTTTTTTGTTGAATTATTATTTGTTGTTCGTTTACTGTTCTTTTCATTCAGAGAGTATAAGATATTGTTCTTGTTTGATGATTAGAGTTGATTTTATTGATGATAGATTTCTCAATTATTAATTTATAATTGATACGGAAAAAAAATGATTGGCATTGAAATTGTTTGTCAATTTTTATTGAGTTATATGTGGTCGGCAAACGTTGGTGACACACTATCCGTTAAATCCGTTAAATCCTGGATCCGCCACTGTTCGGGTACCCAATAACCAATAACACTAAATATGATATTCATTAACCGAACCGATAATTTTGGGTACCCGAATTTTCGAATCGGTTATCGGGTGAATAAAGAAAATTTATACTTTATAATCTAGTAATTATGATATCAATCAAAACTACTTTGCAAAATTATCACATGATCATGACCAAATTACTAATAATATTACTATCCATTTAAATTATGAAGTGATTATGATGTAAAGTAAGGCCCCGTTCACTTCACCTTATTTTTGCTGAACTGAAATTACTTTTATTGAACTGAAATTACTTTTACTGAATTGAAATTATTTTTGCTGAAGTGAAATTATTTTTGGTGAAATGAAATTAATTTTACTGATTCTCTTTTATATTTCTTCTTTAAACTTATTGATTTTTACCGAACTGAACTTATTTTTACCGAACTGAACTTATTTTACCGAACTGAACTTATTTTTACCGAACTGAACTTTTTTTTACCGAACTGAACTTATTTTTACCGAACTGAACTTATTTTTGCCGAACTGAACTTATTTTTACTAAACTGAAATTATTTTTACTGAATATTGTTATTTTAAGGTGAAGTGAACATGACCTAAGAGTTTAGATTTTGGATAAATAGATTTAATTAGGAAAGAAATTGAAAAAAATTGCCTTTTGGATCGGATCAGGTAATCGTTAATTTTAAAATGATACCTAATTAACCGTACCCGATAATAAATTATCGGATCGGATATCCGAACCGTTATAATTATCGGAACGGGTACCCTAATTTTCGATTTGGGTCGGATTTTCAGGTTTTCGATTTTTCGGATAAATTTGCTCAGCTCTCGGACCTCTCAAATTTTTGTAAACGGCAATTTACTCGGCCGTCTGTATTCAGTTAACCAGTTGTTCACAAATCACCCGTATGCAGTTAGGCAAATTGAGGTTCACAAAATATAAATTAGAGTAGTAAGCGACCCCATGAAAAGTATGGAACGACCGTCGGAGCAGTAGGCGACCCCATTGGAGTATTAGGCGATCTGCTGGCGGGGCAGTTAGGCGGCCATTGAAAATTCGAGCAAGTCAGTTTATTGTTTTTCGTTGATTTTGATTTCACGATTGATTATTTGGTATACGATTTTTTTTTATTATTCGATTATTCAGAATTTGTTGTTTCCCAAATTCGATTGTTTTTAATAAGAATAGATTAATGTTCTGTGTATTTCTATTTGGCTGCTCTGGTTTCGATTAGTTGTTGATGAATGGGTAATTTGTCATTCAATTTTCGGATTTTGTTGTTTCCGTAATTGGATTGTTTTTTATGAGATTGAATTATTTAGTTGGAGGTGTTTCTTCAAATTTGCTTACTTTTTGCAGCTTCTAGGTATTAATTTCTCATATTTATTCTTATATCCTTTTCATTGTTGTGGATTGAATGGGAGAAGCTAAGGACTGAACCTTAAAGACTGAACCTGGTGATGTTAAGAATCAAGGTTATAATATGTATGTTTTTAAAAAAAAAAAAAAAAGTCCCACTTTTTCAAAGTTATCTTTCGATATGGTAGTTCTTTTGAAAGTGGAGACACGCTTATTCTGGGATAGTTGTTTTTCACCACTATTAATCTATTATGTATTATTTTGAAAGTAGAGACGCCCTATTGAAATGGCCAAGTTATTTGTTCAGAATTAATCATGTTGCTAGTATGAATTCGATTGATTCATGTGGTGAATGGTGATTAATTGTTTGTTGCTTAGAACACAGAGTTCACAAACTTTCCTCTTTATTGTTATTGGAGAGGAGAAGTTATACATGATTGTGGTGATGTTACATACAAAGGAGGAGAGCAGAAATTTGCATTTGGAGTTGTGAGGTTGTTGGTGAATATGTGATTGTTGATATGTATATATATGTTCATATTATTTACTCTATATGCCTATATGATGGGCAGATCTTTTAAGGGTCAGCTAACTATTTTTTTGTAAAAATGGGTTAGGGCGGGCCTTAAAAGGGTTATTGATTTAATCCTTGTTTTGTAGTCCTAATATTCTCACTCTCACCTTCTATTTCTACCTCTGCAGTTTCTCTTGATTAATCCTTCATCAAATTCGAGCTGATCACATTCAACAAAATCAACATATTCATTTCCTTTATCCATTCGTCAGGTTTGTGCTTTTTTTTTTTTTAATTTTTTTAATTGAAATTGGATTTGATTCGCAATTTTGAGGAATTATACACAATTGTATATTATTTGTCGCTAACTTGACTAATTTGAGCTAAATGCAAATCAGTTATACATCGTATTGTATTTGACAAGTTCAAGCTAAACCTAAATCAATTAAGCAATCAATTTGACACATTCGACCTAATAAGTGATTTAAATATGATTTTTATGAAAATTCATGTTTTTGTTGAAATTTATTGATGGGTTTTGTTGGGTTAAGTCCTCCCATGGTTAAGATGATAATAAACAGGGTTGAACATGAGTTTTCCCCATCTCTGTCCTCGTGTCCTTAATCTCTCCCAAAATTCTAATTTATACAGAATTGGTAATCTGATTAACTTTAACTTACTTAGTTTAATGTTTGCTGCTCAATCGAGTCCTTTTAATATTGGTTGTAAACTCTAATGTTTTGCTCAAATTCTTTTGAATTTTGGTTATGTATGTTTAAGGTCGTTGCTCTTTATGATCTTACATATTGTGTTTGATTAATTTGCGTTTTTTGCTGGTATTGTCTCAAGAGAATAGTTGTGGAGTAAGTCATCTTTAACATGAATGACGTGTTTTCTTGAATTTTCGAGTTGTTGTGTTCATAATTGGTACAAAAAGTGTGGTTGAAACAATGATATATATATATATATATACAAGTATTAAATTTCTGAAAATAGGATGTTTATGAAAGAAATAGTTGGGCCTTGAGGAACTGCTGTCATATTTTGAATTGAGATATGTTATTGTACTGTTCTGTAACTATATTGACCTTTTTTATCTGATAAATTCACATATTGACAGCAACAACTTTTTTCATGTAACTTTAACTAACAGTAATCAGCAAATTAAATCACAATTGAAGTTCAATCAAACATCTTAAAGTGCATGCAATTTTCATCATAATACTTGTACAAGCTAAATCAGTGACTAGTCACAAAATTGAGTTATAAATTATGAATAATAAGATAGAGCTGAAGAAGAATTATATACAGAAGAATGGCCATAAAGTATAATTGAGTTAAAAAAAAATTGATGAGGGAGATTTGAAAACAGATTGATGATCTGAATTTCTTTGGACTTCACTTTCACTTGCTCCTAAGATAGCATTTTGATTAGCTGACATGCACCTTATAGATTGATGATCTACCATGGTATGTAATAGGGTAAATGTGTTGTTCTCTTGATGGAATGGGTTTAATACTTTCAACAGAAGTAGATGACATGCTATTTAATGGTATTAAAACGAGGGGCTGTACAATGTGGCTCATTAGTTATCAGTACAGCAGATAATGCTGGTGCTGCATACCATCTCAAACATGGGAGCTGGCAATTTTCTAAAATAGAGGAGTTGTGATTAGCCATATCATTTTCTTGTTTAGTATAATTATATGTTTAGTCATATCATTTTCTTGACCCAGGCTCTTTCCTATTGTTCTTAGGGGGGGAGGGGGGAATCAATTTTAGGTTCGAGATGAGCTGATGAGGTTTCAGATTTTATATTCGTCTTTTATGGTTCAAGATTGTAGTGCATTGGTGCAATTTCTTTTGAAAATGTATTGTGGGGTGATGTAATCATGTTTTGTGGACTATTTGATAGCTAAGTTTAGAGTTTGTGGTGCTCTCTAACTTCAAACTGAATACTTTATTATGTTGGAATATGATTATCTTGTGTATGTCTTAATTTCTGGTAGAATCATCCAATCCCTGATCTAATTTTGAATTATGAAGAGTTCTTAGAAGAATTTGATGTAAAAAAAATTGTTGAATCATAAAGGATCCTCTCTCTCTGCAACTACACCTTTTAACTGTGAATCATCCTCGCATGTGCTATGGGACTGTTACTCAGCTCCTGCCTTATGAGGTTATCTATTTAGGTCACAGTTGCTTTCACAAAGATTTAGGTAAGCAACACAATTTATTGAGTTTTGGGGAAGTTGAAAAGGATCTATTGTGTTTGTGTTTCATGACATAGTCTGGGTAGAGGTTGGGCTTTTTTAGGGGGAGGGGGGGGGTGGTTGGGAGTTGAAATTCTAAAATAGTTACTGACCGTGTTTATCTTAGAGACTGGAGTTGATTAATTGTCCTTTGTTTCCTGGAATTATGCAATTTGAATTGTGAATGTTATTTTACTCCATTATAAGTAAATTAATTGAGTTTTATTGTCGCAGATCATGAGTACAAAGGAGGAGCCACCAGCATCATTGCCTAAACTTATGACACTTAACAGGGGTTTTAAATTGGTAAGTATTTGAGGTTGGTTGGTTTTAACATTATGTGTCAACCTAAATAAACACAGGCTTTGCATTGGCGCATTGCTCAAGATTATCACTTTGCTGCTTATGTGTAGGCTGAGCAGTGGGTTAAAAATATGCCTGGAGATGAGGAGGCAGAGGAGACGGAAGTGGAAGCCAGACCTGCTAGGTTAGTGTTTTGTTCCCTTAATTCATCAGCCATTTCTTACACCATCGTCTATTGAAGAGGAAACTATAGAGGAAAGTTGAATGGAGTACTGGTCAGTATTTTTGGAAACTTATTTCAGTTTGTTTGTTTGTGTCTGTAGGCTTGGTCTAGGGGCAAAAGTTCCTCGTAAATCCCAAGTTGAACCTATATATGACCCTGTTGAGAGGAGATTACATAAGAAGTTTGGTGCAGGGAGAAAGAAACCTGCTGGTGATGAGGATTCTATTCCACCTCCGAATAATGAAGAAGATAATGGTGATGAAGATGACGATGAAAATTTAGACAGTAGAACTAATTCTTTTGCAAAAAAGAGACCTGCTTTTCCACCCACAACACCACAATCAAAGAAGAAACATAAGTAACAAGTGATATAAGGTGTTTCCTTATTGCAGTCTTCCTGATGTATTCTAATGATATATGATAATCCTTGCTTTAATGCTAATTTTTTAGACAACTTCCATGACTCACTACTTACTGAATTATTTGGTAACAAGCCTCCTTGAAGTGAACCCAAGGGGCCAAGGGATCTTATGCCCTTTCAGAGTTTCAGGCACCTTTCGTTTCTCCCATCCGCATTTGTTTGATTGTCACCGTTATTTTTTACCCAAGGCATACATAATTTTGTTGTTGAAATCATTAAGTTTTCTTTGTACAGAAATATAATAGCAGTATTTGATTAACGATGAGTATATATGAGTACAAAAATATCAATATATATAGAGAATTTTGGTTGAGTATAAATTGATAACATAAATAGATAATGCAATTTGCTTGATTTAAAACGCATTTTAACATATTTGTAAAGGCATTTGCTTGAATTTTTTTTTGTTTTAATCCTCTTTCTCTTTTGATTCCCGTATAATTCTCTCTCCACTCAAACTATAAACCCTTAAAAAATTCCCCAAATTTCCCCCAAATTATAAACTTCTTCCTTGATCATAGAGTTTCCCCAAATTAGGTACGCTCTTAGTTCCCTGCTTTTCTTAATGATTTTGGAATTCAGATTCTTAATTGAGTTTTTTTTTTCTTTTGCCTCTTGTTTTTGTTTTACTATATATGCCTTGATTTTTTATTTATTTTTTATTTATTTTGCTGATTTTGTGGTTTGAATTTTTTAATTTGAACGGTTGAACCTGATTTATGAAACTTTATTAGCTTTCGGGTATGATTATATTGAAATGGGTATCCTTTCTGTTTTAGGAGTAGTAGAAAATGATAAAGAACTGTTCTTTGTTGATTTCTTCTTGTGATATATGTTGCACATTAGGTGTTTGGTAAATTGCGTGAAAGAGAAAGATGTTTGATGTGCAAATTGTTTTAGTAGTTCTGTAATTTCTGTTGTAGGAGATCGACAGATCGTATGAATGCTGAAGAGAAGTTTTTTTTTGCTGGGATTCCGTATTTCAGCTAGAACTTTAGATTGAGTATTACATGTATGAGTTGGTGGAGTTCTGTTATTAGGAGATACGTGGGGACTGAGAAATCGTCTGATAGTAATGGCAATTGGGGCTGTTGTAATTGTTGGGTTTGCATTCCCTTTATCTCCATCGACTGCGAAGCAAAAGGGCAGTTGGTGCATTACCAGGAGTCCAGGACTAGTTTTGTTGAAATTTATGTCTTTGATATTATAATTTAGGGTAAACGTTGTGTATTATATATGTACGCATTGTACTGTCTATGGTGACCATGGATACCTTAGAGGCTGGTGTAAACTAATTGTCTTTTGTTTCTTGGAATTGCGTAATTGAATCGTGAACATTATTTTAGTCTAGTTTTAGTAAATATATTGAGTTCTATTACTGCAGATCATGCCCAGATTGATGACACTTAATAGGGGTTTTAAATTGGTAAGCATTCTGGTTGGTTTCTTGTAATATTTTGTGTCAAACTAATTAAAGATAAGCTTCACATTGGCATATTGCTTAGTATTATAACTTTACTGCTTATGCGTAGGCTGATCAACGGGTAGACCTGCTAGGTTAGTGTTCCGTTGTCTACATTCATTAGCCATTTCTTAGAACATTGCCTATGAAACTACAGGATGAAAGTTGAGTCAAATACTCATCATTAGATTTTTGAAACTTATTTCAGTTTCTTTCTGTGTTTGTAGGCTTGGTCTAGGGGCAAAAGTTACTCGTAAATCCCAAGTTGGACCTATACTTGACCCTGTTGAGAGGAGGTTACATAAGAAGTTTGGTGCAGGGAGAAAGAAACCTGCTGGCGACGAGGATTTCATTCCACCTCCAAAGAATGAGATAGATACTGGTGATGAAGATGACGACGAAAATTTAGATAGTAGAACTAATTCTTTTGCCAAAAAGAGACCTGCTCTTCCACCCACAACACCATAGTCAAAGAAGAAACATAAGTAACAAAGTGATACAAGGTGTATCCTTATTTTTTGCCCTGTAGTCTTCCTGATGTATTTTTATGATAATCCTTGCTTTAATGCTAACTCTTTCGACAACTTCCATGACTCGCTTACTGAATTAATTGGTAGCAAACCTCATTGAAGTGAACCTAAGGGGCCAAGGGATCCTGTACCCTTTCATGCGCCTTTCGGTTCTCCCATCCGCAGCTGTTGGACTTTGTCTCTGTTATTTTACCCAAGGGGTACATAATTTTGGAAATTTTCTAGTCTGGACTTGAACTGTAGTTTTGATTCCTCTGCGAGTGGCGTTGTCTTGTATTTCATCTCGTTGTTTAGAGTGTAAAAAAACATACCGAGTGGCACCAAATGTCCAAACCACCTTGAGCCACTTCATCAATCCTCGTTAGGGTGTTAATTATATAGCTTTTTCTTCTTTTTCGTTGGAATAATTTAGTCTTCTTTTCATCCTCATTAAGGTGCTAATTATATAGCTGGCCCAGGTTACTCATTTTAAGTAACAAAGTTTGTTACTCAAGTGGCAAGGTTTTAAAAAAAAAAATAAAAAAATAAAATCAAACCCATCTTCTAGCTTCACCGCATCTCCATCACAGCCACCACCACCATCACAACCACCACCCAAAACCCATCAAACCATCACCATCTCCGCCTTCCTCTTTGTCCTCTTTTTCTTCTTTTCTTAACAATGGCCCCAATGCGGCGAAATTAAAAAAAAAAAAAAAAAAAAAAACACCCTAGTAGCAAAGAGTGTAAAGTAGGGTCATATCAACCCCTTAGGGAAAACTATTATTTTGTGGCAGGATTGTAGGAGGAAGAAGGAAAATGTTTGGAGCCATGGATCTACTACTGTGAGCAAGTTTGGTAGAAGGAGGAAGACCATATGCTGAACATAGATCGTCCTACCGGTCCCAACTAGTATCGCCGTCCTAATCGATGGTCTCCTATCACCTTCCCAACCACTATCGCCGTCCTAAGCGGTGGCGATTGGAGAATTCTTCTTCTCGATTTCGAATTCGATTTCAGACGAACCAAAACCCTAACTTTGCAAAGATCTGGGCCTGACTATTTTACCCCCAACTTACACACTGAAATGACCTTTGTATCCCTTGAGTAACATTGATTGTAATTCAGATTGAGTAACTTGTATTTTCCCCTAATTATATTGCTCTATATTATTTTATTTTTTTGTTGAAATCATTAAGTTTTCTTTGTGCAAAAATTAGAACATTTGTCATCTTTAGTCTCCAAAATTAAAGCTTCATTTGTTTTTTTGGTATAAGAATAAAATAGTGGGGTTTGATTAACAATGACTATATACAAGTATAATATAATTTTTATACATAATATATAAAAATATCAATATCTATAGAGAATTTTGGTTAAGTATAATTGATAACAGAAAGAGATAATTCAATTTGCTTGATTAAACAGATATTTAGAAAATGGAATAAAAATGAGATGTGATTAGTGTTTTTAATAAGAACTAGTATAGTACCCATGCAATTGCACAATTGATTTTGATAGTTTAAAACTTTAAATATTAAATCTCACAAAATTGAAAACAAAATTAGTTTAATGCATTATAGTGATATTTTTAGATTATCTGATCATTCATTCACAAAAATGTGTATTATGGTATTGCGTATCATAATTTTATTTCAATATTGAATAAAATATATTAAAATTTAGAGATATTTTTACATGTTTGGCCTTTTAGATTAGAATAACTCATACGAGTCATGCCCATTCATATCTCATATTTTAGGGATGACAATGAGTCCAGGACCTGACCTAGACCCGGTGAGACCCAACCCATATTTTAGGGTTCAGGTCCTAAATGGATCTTGGTCTAAGTGCAATTGTTCCGGGTTTGAAAAGTTCAGACCCTTTCCCGATCCAGATCCGACCCATAGACCCGTAGATTTTTTTTTTTTTTTTTTTTTTTTTTTATAAAAAAGTTACACAAGTCATAAGTTATCTAATATAAAGAATCAGATGAAAGAAAAACATAAAGAGCCTAACTCCAAACTACAATCGTCACTCCTCTAAGGGCTCTAAGTCAAATAGCTCCTAGCTCTTACTCTCGTCAAGTCGATTGTCATATGTTTAGTAGTATGTTTTATTTAATGTATTTTGATATGCACTATGCAGCAAGATTGTTTAATGTATCTATATGTATAGTCAATTAGTCACACAAGTAATAGGATAGTTATAATATATATATATATATATATATATATATATATATATATATATATATATATATATATATAAAAGTGATTAAAAAAATCATAATTATACCCACTTTGGACTCGTTTTAGACTCGAAACCTGCTAGACCCAGAGTAGGTCTGATTTACTTAGACCCCCATAAACTATCTTTATACAAATTTCATTCATTTTTAGAGTTGTCCTCTTCTTCTTGTTTTACCATTATCTTCATTTTATTGGTAGAGTATTGTGCACAACTTGATTCACCTTCAATGTAATAGTTTCGTAAAATTTACCGACTAAATACATGTCATATAATTGTTTTCAAGAATCTTATCAAAAGGAAATAAATCAAATCCGTGTAGGGAGAGTCCAACTTCTTCGAAATATTTTATGGAAGTCTTATATATATATATATATATATATATATATATATATATATATATATATATATATATATATATATATATATATATATATATATATATATATATAAAGATCTGATTTTGTAAGTATGACCAGTTGCTCGATACATTCCAAAAATTTTCCCCTACTCCAAAGTTAGAAATGATGTAAGTTGAGCCTTTATTCACAAGTTTTTAAATCGCTGAATGAGTGTTTGTTTAATACCGGTTTGCATCTTTGATCCCTGTGATAAAAATCGCTGTAAATAAATATGCATAAATAAAATGAACGCATTTTTAATTTCAGTAACTTACATAAATAATAAAAAAATAAATATACCTTTTCATCAACCAAAACCAACTCAATTGAACTAGTAGTCTTGAACGTACCAAAGTCTCACAATCCTAACTCTAATCTTTCAATTTTTTTTAAGAGGGGTGACATCGTTAAACATGGTGTATGTCATTTAGAATTTAAACATTTGATCTTGTATATTAGGGTGATAACAACTATCATGGATCCCTACTTTATAAAAAGTTTAACATAACTCTTATGAATAGTGCATGGACATTTATATTCCTAAAAAAGTTCTATTACATATTTGCCCCTATTTGAATTTTTTTTTTTGAAACAAAAAAATTCATTAATAAAAAGGCATACGACATCTACAAATGAAATCTAAATTAACAAATACATAAAATTGAATCAAATTAGGGTTTCCTTCATGAAAGCTACAATCGTTGAATAAATCTTGCACCGTGGTACATCTTTCGCATACATCGCTGAATACAAAGCCAGAGACGGTCTAACGATCTGTTGTAGCCATAAGAATGATTTTCATCTGATTCACTTGAACGCATTTGAAAACTTGACAACCGTTGCGATCCCGAACAAATCTTTACCAACGAACTGATAATAGGGTAAAAGATGATTATCTTTTTGATAAATCCTAACACACAAACAAACCTTAAACATAAACAAACAACTAACTAATAAAAACTAACGACTCCATTATAGGGAGACATTCTATCATAGAGAAACGAACAAATATCTACACTACTCGTGTAGATTTATTGAAACCTAAATTGCAAAAATAAAGAAAATTAAGGAAAAAGGGTCGAAAATAGTCTAATTTTCGAAGAAATTATACTGTTTTTGGCCCTAAACGGTCAAGAATTTGGAGATACCCTAGAAGATAGGAGGAGAAAAAAAGGGGAGGAGAGGCGATGGTAGAAAAACCCCCATTTGATTTTAAAAGTCTTAAATAAAATTGTCTCTTGAATTCTATAAATTGATTTTAAAAGTTATGTCTCTATTTTTTTTTAATTAATTTTTCAATTTAGAATTTATTAGACAATAATATTTTTAGATTGAACTCAATATTGTTTTATCGTTTATTCACTAAACCAAAGCAGCTCAACTAAAGTATTGAACATTACACAGCTACACAATATCCAACACATTTATCGTCTATATGCAAATAGTAAAGAGTTTTATAAAATATTATGCAAATAGGCATATGTCATAAAGGTTTTGGTGATAATTCTTCTTAAAGTGCTAGCCATACCACACGCATCGTGCGCGTTGAAATCCCTAGCATATATAAAAATTGTCAAAATTTTTACACAATATATAAGCATATCATATAAGATCAATAAAATTTGTATTTTTTTGGCAAAAATCTTATATATTAGATCAATTACTATCTTTTGTTAAACATAGTGTATATTATATTATTTAGTCATTAAAATATAGTGTATATTAATGTTAGGTTGTAACTTTTTACACAATCATAAAAATATTATGCATGGTAATAATTTTATCTAAAAAGTTACTATCTTTTGTTAAATATATTTTATATAGTGTATATCTTCTAGTCCAAGCATATCATTAGTTACCTAATTGTATTCTATTCGTCACCCTTAATTTGAGGCTTGTATCATGTATATAAGCCGACTTTGGTAAAGTGAATACTGAAGGAAAATATGCCCAATTTTTTTTTTTCATCTTTAAATTTTTATTTATGCATATTTATACATGTGTAATGATATTTATTTTTGACAATTTTACTTGATATGATGATTTTTTTATTTAAGAATAATAATGAGCTATTATGTACATATATATGCAGTTAAATTTTATAGACAAAAACTGTATCACATAAGATTAATAAATTTATATTTTTTTGGCAAAAATATTACTTTCTTCTTTCTAATAATATTGCAACAAGGATGAAATTACGCATCCCAAAACACATTTTATATGTTAAATATCTTATAATTATATGAGTAAAAAGTATAAAAAGTTGATATTTAAAATATTTTATGAGACGAATCTAACAAGATGTCACATGACTAGCTATATTTTGCTTAATGTATAAATCGTATTATATGGTCAAATAAGAGTGATGAATAGTGCAAAAGTTCCATTGTTACAATGTTATCGGAACGGAGGAAGTATATTTTGCAATGTTATTGGAACGGAGGAAGTATATTATATAAGATCAATATGATATACATTTCTTCTTACTCTAGTTTCACTATGCATGATACTCCCTCTGTTTCATAATGTTAGTCCCATAAAATATGAAAAGAAGAGTATTTTGGAATCTAACATTTAAGTACAAAATAATTCATAATTAGTTTACCTTATTTAACTTTTTTGATTTTTTTTTGGGGAAGCATAAGTCATAATTGCATAATTTAAGGTAGAGATTTCCTTATTTAGAGTTATGTCATCAATCCACAACCAGTTAATTCCAAAAAAAATAAGTTAAAAATGAAACATATTCAATATGGGTAGATCTTTTTGAAATGCCCAAAATAGTGTATGAGATTAACATTATGAAACGGAGGGAGTAATAATTTTATCTAAAAATTACTATCTTTTGCCCAATATAGTGTATATTCATGTTTTACATAGTGTATATTTTCTAGTCAAAGCACGCATATCATTAGTTACCTATATATATTCTATCCATCACGCCTGGTTTGAGGCTTGTATATTGATAAGTGTCATTTATGACACTATTTTCTAGTCATGTTCCTTAGATTATAGGTTGGATCCTTTAGCATTTTAGTGCTTTTATCTATGTTATTGGTATTTTGTGATTTATTTCCTTATTGTGTGTTTTATAGGTTATTGAGTCATTTTGGATGATAAAAAGATGAACTGAATAAAGGAGCCAATGTCAAATGCAAATGAATATATGATGAGTTCCTTCGGAGGAACTAGAAGATTGATGTAGACGCAAAGGAACTTACTGGCAGTCCGAGATTTGTCCAAATTCATTACAACGTGATATTTGGTTACTTGGAGAGTAATTCTTGAATATTTACAGCGGGAAGGAAGATATATTTGATAAGAAGAAGATCCTATCATTTAGGAAAAGATTTGGCAAAAGATAGAATTTCCTAGATTCTATCCAACTACTTTCCTTATCTAGAATATGATCTGTATTTTTAGGGATTTTTACTTGGGGAATAGTTCTATCACGATTATATAAAACACCAAAGTTATTCAACGTTTAAAGCATCCATTCTTCGTTCATCTCTCACTTGTGCTCACGTTTAGAAGGAACTACCTAGGGGAACTCGACATGTTTTTCTCCAAAAGCTTTTCTTCTTTGCTCTATAACATGAGATCAGAGTAATTCTTTATGCTCAGTAGTAGTTAGAGGAAGCCATATAATTAGTATTTGAGACAAGTTAGTTTGGTTTTAATGATTATTAGTTAATATTTTGGGAATATTCTTGAAATACTGTTATTTCTATGAATGATGATTTCTTATAAGTGGGTCTGATTTCTATTGCTAATTAATACCACTAAGTCCATAATTGCTTGGGAATGTTAATGAAGTATCAACCAATTGTAGAGGAGGACGTTCCACTCTACTAATTGTAAAGTAATTCTTGATCTAGGTGAAACCATGTTCCAATAATGTCATGGTTGTCTAGGCTTGATGTTTTCCTAGTTCCTAATGCTGTCAACACGTTATATTCCTTGCTCGTAGTATAGGGGTTATTTGTTGGTTAGGGTTAGTGAAGTCATACCGGATCTAACCATTAATAAGGAAAAACAGAGGAACTTGTTCTATAAGTCAAGTTGTTCCTAGAGGGTTAATTAATGTGTTAATGGTTTTACGAAGTTCCATGGCTAGAATCTGATTATCTACTGAGTGTTTTCTCCATTGACCGCTTGTTCTTTAGTTATAACCCCTTTTATTTATTATTCCTTTAGTTATTTTAGATTACAAATCGTGTTACTCTTGTGGAACTTGGATCTGGTGTCTTGTTATTTTAGACTTACTTTCCTCGTGGGATTGACTCGTACTTGCCCTAGTTATTTTTTAAGGTGAATAAGGTTTAATTTTGTGTGCACTTCAACAACTAACACACCATATATCATGTATATATATGCGCTAACTTTGGTAAAGTGAATACTCAAGGAAAATATTCCCAAATTTTTTCATCTTTTTAGACAAAAATTGTATTGCATAAGATCAATAAATTTTTATTTTGTTGGCAAAAATATTATATACAATTAATAATTTTTATTTTAGTATACGAACTGTGATATTTTTTGTTATATTATATATAATATACGAATTTTATGCGCATGATTTATAAGAAATAAAAGGTCTTAAAAAAATTTAGTGAACTAATTGCTTTATTTAGGATAGCGGAAAAGGGAGGAAAAAATTTTAATGACAAGGTGACACGTCAAGCTATTGTTTGGAGTGTCCTCTGTTTTAGTATAGTTACTAGTACGGTATAGTGCCCGTACAATTGCATAGTATAATAGTTCATATGTATAATATACTTATCAAAGCAATTTTTTAATATTAAGGATGAAAGTGAAAATCAAAAGTTATGCTCTAACAAATATAGCTCCTAGAAATATCATAGAATGATTTATCGCTGATAATAAGAAGGTTTGGGGTATCAATTGGAGGAAATTGTCCAGTGATCTCTGTTACTCGGGTTTGAATGTGAGTTCGCTCCAGGAAGGGGAAGGATACATTCAACATGTGAAGCGTATCATTCCGGAGAGCCAACTTAGTTACAGTTTTTGGAAGCAAAGGATGAAGGTAAATTGGGTTAGGTGTGGGGATTGCCCCACGGCAACAATGTACAGGATGGTGAAACAAAGACAGACCCAGAACTCTATTTTATGCCTTAGAAACAAAGACGGGTCTTGGGTGGAAGGTCAACGGGAGGTCTATAATGGAAGTCTATAGCCCAGGTTCTAGTGATAAGCACGGAGAGGATATCGATCTACTTCTTCGACAACTAGATGTTCCTACTATTTCGGATAGGAATCGTGAATGGCTTGATAAAGATTTCTCGGACAAGCAGATTGAAAAGGCGATGATGGGTATGCACGGGTCCAAATACCCAGGTCCTGATGGTTTCTCGGTGGATTTTTTCAAAAAATATTGGGATGTAGTAGGTCAGAAGGTGATTGACAGTGTTAAACAATTTTTAAGGACATGCAACATGCTCAAAGAGTGGAACCAATCTCTCTTAGTTTTGATTCCTAAAGTGAAAGCTCCTGAATTGGTGAGTCACTTTAGACCGATAAGTTTGTGCAACACGGTCTACAAGTGTATCTCTAAGTGCTTAGTTAACAGAATGAAACCAATCCTCTCGGGCATTATTTCGGAGAACCAGCATGCTTTTATCCCAGGGAGATATATGGAGGATAACATTCTCCTGAGTCATGAACTTATGCATCTCATCAACTCAAGGAAAGGTTCGAATTTTACAGCTTTAAAGATTGATATGTCTAAGGCTTATGATAGAGTGGATTGGCTGTTTCTTCTGAAGGTTCTACAGGCCTATGGTTTTCCTTCTCACTGGATTGGGTTGATATCACAATGTATGACGACGGTGAGTTATAAAACGGTTATTAACAGGAATACTTCGGGACACTTTGCTCCAAAGTATGGTTTGAGACAGGGGGATCCTCTATCCCCGTACCTTTTCATCTTCTGCATGGATATTCTGTCTAGAATGTTGGCCATTGCTGAAGATATTCACCAGGTCCAAGGGCTTAAGGTATCACGAAGATCGCCGGCAATCTCTCATCTTTTCTTTGCAGATGATGCTATGCTCTTCTTCAAGGAAAATGAAGAGTCTTGCAAATGTATATCAGACATCCTTCAAAGATTTAGTGAGGCTTCGGGGCAACAATTGAATCTTCAGAATTCTGCCATTAAGTTTGCTCCAGGGGTAGATGAGGAAAGGAAGGCAATAGTGAAACAGTGTCTGTCTATGCCGAAAACGGGAAATATGGGGATACATCTTGGAGCGCCAATCGATCTACAAGGGAAAAAAGGTCCACACTTCCAATTCTTAGTTGACAAGGTGTCGAGTAAAATTATGTCATGGGCCCACCTGAATATTTCACAATCAGCAAAACTTATCCTTATTAACACAGTGCTGATCAGCATGTCGGCCCATGTCATGAAGTGCTTAAAAATACCTTTGAGCATTGCTAACAAGATCGATTCTTTGATCTCTCGGTTTTTGTGGTCCAGCAAAGGGAACAGGGGGTTGCATTGGGTAAACAGGATGATTACTCAGCTGCCCAAAGGGATGGGTGGATTGGGAATTAGAGGCTCGTCTAAGCTTAATGATGCTCTTCTTTTTAAACAGGCTACCAAGATTCATCTTAATCCACAGTTGCTTCTTTCTAGGTTTTCAACAGTGTGGGTTGTGCAACATGGCTAGACCATACGTCAGAAAAGGTAATCCGTCTCTGGGAAGAACAAGTATTCAAAAAGTTTCTCAGACTTTCAAGAGGGGTTTTGCTTGGAAGGTAGGGAACGGGGACCAGATTAAGGCAATTAGCATGCCGTGGGTGAAAGGGGATATTCCTTTAGTTAATTCAAGCCAATCTCTAGGGGTGGCTTTGACGTGGAAGGTTAGTGACTTTATAGATAGGGATACGAGAACTTGGAAGGCAGGGAAGGTCAGAGAATGTTTTGATTGGGACTGGGCGAAGAAAATTCTATCGATGGAGCTCCCGCTAGACAACGAGGATGACTTTCTCTATTGGAAATACCATCCATCGGGCAGGTATACGGTTAAAACAGGATACTTCTATCTTTCTAAGGAATTGGGGTCAAACACCACCATTTGCGTGGCAAGGGAGCAGGAATTTATTAAGCTGATCTGGAGAATGAATATACCACCGAAATGGAAGTTGTTTCTATGGAAGTTGTGTCACGATGGCATTGCCGTGAAGGAAAACTTGGCAAAGAGAGGCATGAGTACCGACACAGAATGCGATCGCTGTAGAGAGGGCGAGGAAAATAGTCAACATCTTTTCAGGTATTGTACTCAGGCAAAGGAAGTCTAGGAGATGAGTCCCCTAGATGTTTGCCCTGACTCACTGGGGTCTATTTCTCTAAAGGAATGGATCCATCACTATATCCTGCTTTATTATAGCGAGGATGGGAAACAAGGAGGTCGTTGGGTGAGTTTTATTGCAACTCTTTGGGGCTTGTGGAAGGCTAGGAATGCTAGATGTTTCAGAAATGTGGTTGGAACGAGTAGCCAGGTGAAAGATTTTATAGATGCTACAATTCAGGACCATGAACATTTCACCTATCGAGCTGGTATTTTATCGAAGGAAGAGGCGAATGGTAGGGATGATCCTACCCTACCCCCGGGGTTTATCTGTGTCCAGTTGGGGAAAGAGAGGACAGGGTTTGATGATTTCAGAGTAGAAGTCGACGGCTCATGGGACAGGACAACCACGGGGGCAGGAATAGGCTGGGCGGTTAAGGACAATGGTAGTGGTGGAGAGGTGGGTGAGGGAGGTAAGCACGGTGTGGCAACTTTTGCTTTACAGTGTGAAGCTTGGGCTTGCTTGGAAGCTCTGAGATGGACTCGCTCTACGGGAAGGAATGGGATCCTGATTTTAACTGATTCTTTATCCCTTTTGAATATTTTACAGGGTAATAGATGCAAAGAGGTCTCGATCACCTGGTGCCTCAAGGGTTTAAAAGAGGTAGGTGCTTCGTTCCAAAGATGCACAATCCTAAAAGTACAGAGAGATCAGGTTCAAAGGGCGAATGACATTGCTAGACAATGTCGGGTTAATGTTATGAATCTAGTGTAATTTTGTTTCCCTTTGCTCTTGTCAAAAAAAAAAAAATACTATTATATTACATATTAAATTATTTATATCGACTTAAAATTAGGGATAATGGCAGGCGGGTATAAAAATGTGAGTCTCGCACCGTACCCGCCCTAGTTGGAGCGAGTGTGGGTCCAACTTTGGCAGGTAAGTAGGCGGGTATGGGTACAAAAGTCATACCTAGTGTGGGTAGCGGGTAAGCGGTGGATTTGATGTCATATCCGCCTATTACCCGCCAGTTACCTGCCTACTTGCCCAGTTACCTACCAACTTATTACTACCACTAAGTTTTATGTAATTCTTTTTGTATTTGTAATGATGAAAGACTAATTTTATACAAATTAAGTCCTTACTTGTATAATATATTATTAAATTATGTATCTACAACAATTTAAAGATAGCATAATGACAGGTTTTCTAGTATACATGGAGAATACATTAGTCCAAATATATATGTATGATTTATTCTAAATATGTGGTCAGTTAGTATGTATAAGTGTATAAATTTATTACGAATTTGATTAAATTGTACAAAATATTACATCAAAGCTTCATTTGGCTACATTCCATTATATTTAAGTAAGATATTAATTATAAAAAAATATAAGTTTGAAAATTGCACAACTCTTACTTAAATTACATTATCATGAGATCAATTAGTGATTATTAGTAAGACTAAAAAGATTTGTTAAATTGCATGTTAATATAATGTAATAAATTTGGGAACTACCATAAATAATATTATGTAATTAGGCGGAAAAATTTTCATTGTAAGAGCGACACGTGTCAAGTTTTAGGTTGAACGCCTTCTGTTTTAGTTTAATTATAATAGATAGATAGATAGATTGCAATATCACAATAAAATATTTAAGTTTACAGGTATAATGAATTGGAATATCACACAATAATACTTGTATACATTTAGTTATATATGCTAGCATATACATTATTAACTATTAGTTTTATAAGATCACTATTCGGAATATTTATAATTTATATACATCTCAAATGCCTTATATTTTGTTAAATAAAATCTGTAATATCATTTTATATGATATAAAATATTTGTATTGTTTATACTACCATATTTAGTTATATAAGATAGCCTTTTTTATATTATTTACTATTAATTTAATGACATCGATTAGTGATTATAGTAACTAAAAATATTCTTCTAGATTGCATATTAATATACTGTAATAAACTTTAGAATTACCATGAATAGTATTATGTAATTAGGCGGAAATTTTTTTATGGTAAGAGCAACATGTGTCAAGTTTTAAATTGAGCGTCCTCTGTTTTAGTATATATACGGTGAATCCCGTGCAATGCACGGTTGTTAAATATTTTTGAAAATAATATTATAAAAATTATATAAATAGAATGACTTGAGTATTAAAAATATGGTGTATAACTGTAGATTAAAAATAAAAAGAAACAAGAGAAAATATTTAAATTACATGTAACAGTTCTAATGGACAATTTAATATTTTTGGAAAGGAATTATATTTTATATAAAACAAATGTCATAATTTAGATACATTGATTTTCCCTAAGTAACAATGATTTATTTTAAGAAGGTACTTTTGGAGGGAAATTTTTTATTGCAATATTAACAAGTGTCTTTTTTTATTCGCTTTTAGTCGTATGTAATTGATATATAGATAGATAGAAGATTTTTGGGGTGAAATGAGACTTACGGGCTAGGGCGAAAGTATAATCAAATTTCCTTGGTTTAATTTCTACCATATTCGCATTGACTGGATCAATAATATATCGTTCCAACTTCAAACTATCCCTTGCTCTACTTTGACAATTGTTTTATACGATTTGGACTATTTTCAGAGACGTTATAAAGACTTGTTAATGCTAAGAGTGGATTCATTTTTATCACCTTGATTTTCACTTTTTAAAAACAATTTAGGCACTATTAGTCTATTATTATGATTATGCATTTTATGAGCTTAATTATTGGGCCTAGATGATGCCCCGGATTATTATATATAATACAATAATTGTGCATGACATTCATGATGCAATCTTTTTTTTTTTTTTTTGGACAAAAACCGAGCATAGCAATTTTATTAATCAACCAAATGGTTCAAATCATCAATTACAAATTTAGATATACCAATAGGAACCTCTTCCATCCAAACTCTAAGCTCGTACAAAAAAATACTTAATTTTGCTAGCTCGTGTGCAACCCGGTTACCATTCCTCTGAGAAAGAACATGCTTGGCAGCGGAGAGCGAGTTGTAGTATAGCATTGACAATTAGGCCAAACGCTGTAGGAGGAGCCATTCCTTTCGATAGGTGGTTGTGTAACTTCAAGCAGTCCGTTTCCAAACACACCACTCTAAAACCCGAGTCTAGAGTAATTGCCAAAGCATGGCTCATTGCTAAGGTTTCAGCAACATCAGCCTTAAACTTTCCACTCAACCTTAAGCATGTCGAGAGCACAGCATCACCTACAGCCTTATGAATGATGTCACCCACATCTCTTCTCCTTCCTTCAAGCACCCAAGCGTTTCTTCTCGGCCAAACCCCCCATAGGATACTCCAAAATAAGTTCCACCATGAGGGATCTTTGTGTCTTTTACGGATAGAACAGCACAAGTCCCTAAAAGAATCACCATCATCACTATCCACCGCCAACCTTAAAGGAGAAAGAACCAGCATATGAAGAATACTCTCAACCGCATTACCACACATAGGGCAGGTTGTATCAAGATGCATAGCACGTTGAGCCAAACTGAGACGTGCAGCCACAGCTCCCTTCATAGCACGCCACCCAAAAAATTTAAATTTGGGAGGGACCTCAGCATCCCAAACAATCGACCAATCAAATTTGCAACCCACACTCGATGTTAGAAACGGAACTGTGAGAACAAAAATAATAAGAACAATATTACCGGGAATAAGACTGAGTTGCAGACTATGTCGCTCTCTTTAGAACATTCACGGTACTGCCTCTAATTTGTGCAAGCAGATCGATCCACAACCGGATGTCCCCAAGGATAAAACAGCCTCTCAAGAGTATAATGTACCGATGGATTTGCACTGAACCACCGGGCAACCAAACACCAAAATTAAAGAAAAACTGCTCGATCGAATTTTTTTTTTTAATACAGAAGAGAATAACATTTTTAATGTGTATAAAATCGGTGAGCAAAGTGTTCTTTTATAGCCGAAAACTGAACGTTGCAATTAAACCGTTTGATCCTTAATTAAAACGGGTAGAAAACGGTTACCATAATAATGGGCAGAAACGGTTACCATAAAATTAATTAACCTAAGTAATGGGAATTAAAACGGTAGTGGGTTTGAAATAGTCAAACCGGTTAGAATAAATCAAGGCATTAATTACATAACTAAACCTTGTTCAAAAATCTAAAATCTGTTTTGATCATCCGACCCGACCCAACCTAACCCAGCCCAGCCCGGCCCGACTCGATTTGGCGCGCGCGTGTGTGTTGGGTTGGCTCGGTAGGTAAGTCTTCCCTCTCCACAAAATGTGGGTAGCCCTTGGGCCACACTCAAGTATACCACACTCTACATTATAAAAAAGGAAAAACTTTCATTTCCCACCAATGTGGGACTTTGTAATTTTCACAACATTCACACCCACAATACACTTTGTTTCAACAATCCCCCATTCGAATTTTTTGAAAACATTTTTCGAGCACAATCCTTACACATATAGGTTGTGCATAAACAAAAGTGTTTTTCAATTTGAACTTCTGCGTAGTGAATACGATTCAGAGTTAACAAGGGTAACTCGAAGTTTTGAACTTTAATTATCTCTGACAACGTACCACGCACGACCTACCACTACTAGAAATAGGCTTATTTCCGAGGGAAGTGTTCTGACGGAATTTAATTCCCTCGGAAAATTCAAAAATTCCGGCGGAAATTGCAGCTGTAGGAAAAATCCGTCGGAAATGTTCCATACCGACGAAATATTCCCTCGAAAACGTTCTGACGGATTGTATTTCCCTCGGAATATTCTGGTTTCGACGGAATATTCCCTCGGAAAATTCAGGTTCTGACGGAAAATTTCGTCGGAACCTGAATTTTCCGAGGGAATAATTTCCGTCGGAAGCGTAGAACAATTAAAAAAAAACCACGATTTTTACAGAACACAACGACAAAAAAAAACGCAGAGAGAGAAAGGGAGAGCGAGACAGAGGAAGAGGAAGAGAGAGAAAGGGAGAAGGAGAAAGAGGAAGAGAGAGGGCCACGCAGACCGCCGCCTACCGCCCCTCCGCAGCTGCACCGCCGCCGGTAAGTGGTTAATTTTTTTTTTCTTTTTTTCCGGAAAACCCTAACCACCACCATGTCACCTAGGGATTATCGGAGTTGTTACTAACAACCACCAACCCCAAAGCCTCACTCGCGGCCGGTCTGCAACCACAACGGCCACCAGCAGGTAGTGTCCGATTTTCCTATTTTTTTTTTTAATAAAAGTTTACATCTATCAATATTCATTTTTTTATACAAAATGCAAGCATAAATTTAAAAGCTAAAATTATAAATATAGTTTATACTTTTTTTTTGTTTATATTTTGTTTGTAATTTGAATATTTGTAGGATTTGTAGATTGAATTGGTTCTTTGGCAATAACATCTTCAGATCTACAGGTTAGAGAGTATTTTAAAGCTAAATTTATAAATTTAGTTTATACTTGGCATGTTAGATCCTAATGGTGTGTAGATATATGTTAGTTTATTATTGTTTTTAGTTTTTGTATTTACAATTTGTTGTATTTATATTTTACTTTGTTGAAATATTTGAAATGAATGTGTTAATGTTATGATATGTT